ATATGGATTTTCAATGATGTATGATTTATTAAATGGATAAAATGAATGTTTAAAAAATATTAATTATGGTAACATTATATTTTTATGTTATTTTTAGAATATTATTCGATTTGAAGAATAGTATTCTCCATATTTCGAAGACGAAGGAGATTTTATTACAATTTTCATGTATGATTATTATTGATATGACAACGCCGCAATGACGAATTTCCCCCTCTGCCTCTTCAGACTGCGCAGTTCAAGAACCATGCAACTGACTTTACTTACTGATATATGAACAGGTCTTTACAGTCACTGAAAGCCAAACAAGAAGTCGACTCCATATACAGTGTCCCCCATAATGTATGCTACATATGGGGAATTTTTTTATTTGTAGGATATGGAATTTCTTCTTATTTGCGATCGATCCCGTATGTCCGATAACCTAAAAGTACGCGAAAAGTGAGGTTAGATGGCAAAATTTCGAAAAAAGTTATTTGGCAAAAGTGATCAGAACGATGTTTTAGGGCTGTCTGCGTTTGATTACAAAAAACAGCAAATTATTTGTTTTTAGCCATGGATCTCTCATCAAATAATATTATACAATTTTTAATATTGAAATAGTCCAAGTACCCCAATATTTAATGTGTATTGGTAAAAGAAACCTAAATTCTTCATTGGAATGATTCTAGAGGATTAAATAAAAATATTCGACTAGCACATTAAACTTTTCTATAGCAATACCCTGTACCCTGACAGTTTCTGAGATTTCCAATAACTTAGTGTTGATACAACACTTGAAAAGATTCGTTATTGAGATTTTTTATTAAATATTTCAATACAGTCCTAAAACACTTTACCTAACTATCCAGATACAGGGTATTGCTCCAGAGAAGTTTCATGTGCTAATCAATAATTTTGAGGTATTGAGGTACTTAGACTATTTCAATAATAAAAACTGTATATTAGTTGATAAGAGATCCATGGCTTAAAACAAGTAATTCCCTGTTTTTTGTTATTTTTCCTCCAAATTTCGCAGACAGCCCTAAAACATCGTTCTAATCACTTTTTTCAAATAACTTTTTTCGAAATTTTGCCATCTAACCCCACTTTTCGCGTTTCCATATCTAAATTTTCGAATTTGCTGCCACAACAGTGATCACGTGACCAATGTCAAAATGTACTTTTAGGTTATCGAACATGCAGGATCGATCGCACATAAGAAAAAATTCCATATTCTACAAATTTTTCCCCATATGTAGCGAACATTATGGGGAACATTGTATACACTGATTTTAGCAAGGCTTTTGATAAAGTACCTAAATTATGAGGTGTTAATGGGAAAGCTGCAAGCTTTGGGATTTTTTGGAAGTATGCTTGCTTGGTTCCGTAGTTATCTTGGAAATTGATGTCAGTTTGTTAAAATGAAGGGTGCTCTGTCAACATGTAACTTCAGGAGTGCCTCAGGGAGCTCATCTGTCTCCGTTACTGTTCAATGTTTTTATTAGTGATATCTGTACTGTTTTATGGCACTCTGACATACTTTTATATGCAGATCATCTAAGGTTATATAAATGCATTGAATCCATGGAAGACTGTAAGAAACTTCAGGAAGACATTGATCATCTGATTTGTTGGTGTAACCTTAGTTTATGGAATTTAATACAAAAAATGTAGAGGTAGGCGTTTCTATCAGAAAACAAACATCATTCAGTTTGAGTACAGCATAAATGATGAAATCTTAGAGACGGTGGACTGTATAAATGATATGGGGGTTTCCTTCGACAGAAAAATTTCATTCAATAACCATATCAATTACATAACCAGCCAGGCATTAAAAGTTTTAAGATCTATCAAGCGTACTCTGCAAGATTTCACCGATCTGAATTGTTTTAGGGCTTTATACTGTGCTTATGTTAGGTCTGTTTTGGAGTATGCTTGTCAGATTTGATTATAAAGTATATATTATACAGTAACTCGAAAGAGTTCAACGAAAATTTGTTAGCTTACAAGCCTATAAAATGAGTGTGCCAGTCGATCATATCAATTATACCTATATAATGAAACTTCTAAATATTGTTATATTAAAAAGTCGAGTGGTGGTCCTCTCGAACAATGAAGAATGTTTCTTATATAATTTAATTAACTACTTCAATTGACTGTCCTGATTTGCTGTTTCTTGTGATCGTTAAACACAAAGGAATCTACGCAATAATAATCTCTTTGAAGTTGAATATCACAGAACTAATTATGATATTTCTTCTTACTTCTAGCATGATAGATCCTGTAGTTTGGCAAATAGACATAGCATAGATATAGTTTTAGGGAAAGGGTTAGACGGAGCATGTTTTACACGGACTTACATCTAACATAACTGATTGTGAATTGTTTATGGTAGGTTTTTTTTTCTTCATATTGCAACGGCCGCCAGTGTATCAAGAATCGCATAGCAGATTCGAGATTTTACGTGATGTTCGGGAACAACGTCGATCGCGGTTTTTCTGGAATTTACAGGAATAAATTACGGCTATATAAATATAAGGACGGGTTTTAGCTTGTAAGTTTAAGTTTCAGTTTGACTGTGATACGATTTAAATAGTGATTATTATGCGAGTTGTAAGAGTTTAGTTGTTGAGTTAGTTATTAAAGTAATTAATTAGTGTCAGAGTGTATTGTTAAGTGGAATAAATTATGGCTGTGTTAATTGGACTTTGATTTTGGGAATAAACGAAACGAACCCAAGATTTCTGTCCGGCAATCCAGAGCCGTGACAATATTTCTGTGTTTTTTTTTTGTTGTTTTATTTTATTTTATGAACCTTTTATGTATTTATCGTGATTTTTGTCACTTTTTTTAACTGAAAAAACTATTTATTTATTTATTTATTTATTTATTTATTTATTTATTTATTTATTTATTTATTTATTTATTTATTTATTTATTTATTTATTTATTCATTTATAATCGGTTATGATACCAATTCCCAACACACCATATGGGGCAGCACAAACATCAACAAATAGGTGAGTTTTCTTGAATATTTGCTTTCTAACGACCTATAAGACCAATAATGGTGATAAATCTACCTTTGCGACCAGTGCCTTCTCGAGCATAGAAACTCAAAACTCACTGACTGGGGTCTATAAAAAGATGCAAAAGAAGCAGAGGGTGGGTTACTGGGTTAGCTGTATCACGAATGAAATAAACACTCTAATAATAACAGCAGCAGATAGTCGTAGAAAGGAAAACGCCCTGGTGGAACAGAAAGCACAGATCCCTATAAGGGCTGAAAAAAGAAGGTTATTCAATAGGGCAAAACCTACTAATAACTGGGCGAATAGTGAATACAGAATTGCCCTAAGAGAATACAAGAAGGAATTGAAAATATCTAAAAGGAAATCCTGGAGAAATTTCTGCGAGGAAGCTACTGACATCCCTCAGACAATGCGACTACAGAAAGTCCGTGCGAAAGATCACTCAAACGGCAATGGACTGCTACAAAAACTTGATGGCAGTTACACAGAGAGTAAATTGGATAGTGTGAAATTGTTTCTACAATCGCACTTCTCAGACTCGGAAGAGTGTGAGATGAATGACAACAGAGCTCCGGTTGCTAAAGGCGCTCCACGCTGAACGAACGGTACATAACAAAAAGACTGGCCAGAGAAATATTCATCTCAAAAATGGGTGATGAACAATTTTCAGCCCTACAAATCACCAGGAGGAAACAGAATCTTTTCAACCCTGCTACAACAAGGCTTAGAAGAACTTATAACTCCACTAGCAGTAATATTCGAAGCTATAGCCACCTACCAGGTTACACTTTTTTCTGTATTCTGTCCATTTTTTCGTTTGTTTTCAAGTATTATCCATTACCGTAACACCATTTATCATTTTTCACCAGCAAAGCTCCCATCTCCATTATCCATGATGTGTTGAAATATATATCGATTTACAAGATTGGAAAAAGGATTTTTAAAGTAAGCATAATTTGACGTTGGTTTTATGAAGTTCAATTCATAAAATAAGTTGCAAAAAAGTAGTACCAAATACTACTAACGTTACATAATAATTATCCACTATATAAGTAAATACAATTTTAAAGAATGATACGCAATCTTTGCCTCATAAATAAACAAATATATTAAAATAATTTATTGCCAATGAAATCGAATAAAATAAGGCTCTAATATCTACAAAATAATCAACTATTAATGTCCCGATGCATTTTATGAGCAATGAGCAAGTCATAAAGTTCAAGCTGAGCTTAAAATGGTGGTCAAAAATAAATACTTAATATTAATAATTCATGTATTCATCCGATATATCATCTATAAAACGGACGACGGTCATTGAAATACTCTAGTTTTCATTCACATTGGTTTATAGGAAAACATACTTGCCTCAGTTCTATAGATGTATAGTTATAAAAAATAATGAAAAATAATTATTTTGATACAATTTTTAAGAAAAATGCAATAACAAATCTCCAAATATCATTTACCAAACAAAATAACCATACATAGTGGACGTAGCAGTCATGAGAGACTCGGTGACAAGAACCTAATGCATGAGCTGGAAGTGTACAACTTTCTACTCACTAGTCGATCAGAGATAAGTGACCGAAAATTGGGGAGATTTTGCAACAAACAAGCAGCCAATGCAGTGGCGGATTCAGGATTTTCTTTAGGATCCGCCACTGAGCCAATGGAATCGAAAATGTAGATAAACAGTTTATGAAAGGCAATTTGGCGCCTGAAAATTAATCTGAAATTTAGTTGTTAGTTGAGGAATATCAATTTTTCTATTAGAAAAGACTGAAACTGCATTTCATTCAAAACTTTCACGTATTAGAATAGAAAGTGAAAATCTATTATTGATTGATCAAACATTTACTTAGAAACGTAATTATATTGTTTAATCGATATTATAGGTTGTCAGAAAGTAAGAACCTTGGTGTAATTCTGCTGAAACATATTTAGCCAAATAAAGTTTATAAAAAAAATTCATATAGAAGGAAAATGGGAAATACTGAGAGTAATGTCACCAGCGGTGTTAAAAAACAAGCAGGAGCTGCTATGCAGCCAATTTACAAACTTTGCGATTTAAAAGGTACCTACCTATATACATTATTGGTTTGAAAATAATTGACTAACACAATAAGTACCTATATTTTTTTTAATGCAAGGTGGAGGATTACTTGTAGAGCTTATGAAGAGGGCCACCCAAAACAAACAGTATGCCGAAATAGATCATGCTATTAAAACCAAGGTAGGATTTATGATAAAATGTTCAAGTGAGATGATATACTTTGTTTTCAAAAGGTGGAACATTTCCTTTACAACAAAGGCGCAGGTCGCTACATTCCCATTTCTCAGATGGTTCTTTTGAGAAATAAAGAAAGAGCTAGGCATAAACTGGTAAGTGTACCTATAATGAAAAAAATAACACAACATTGCTAATTCTTGTTTTTAAGATTCTTCTCAGTTCCATTAAATTTCTTCTTTATCATTCACTTCTTTTTTATTTGTTTCCTCTCAGATTTGGTTGTTTCTTGTGTTTTTTGTTTAGTTACCACAACTTAAAGGTATGGAGAATCCTGACGAATTCGAAGTAGATGACGAAGGAACAGAAATAAGCGAAGAAGAGTATCGTAAAAGTATGTCGTATTACTGAGTTATAAAAATAAGTATTCGAATAATTTGCAATCAAAGAAAAGACATTCTCAAAACATCGATTCTTGTGATTGAATCTCAATTTTCTTAGATCCATCCAAGTACAGGCCCGTCTGCTGGAAACTAAAGGAAAGAGGCGCAGTAGGAGAAACGATAATGCATCTTTGTTTGCTGAATGCCACATCTTTGCATGCCGACATTGCAAAAAGACTTTTGCGATTCTATCCCAATTTGATTTGGGATATTTACATTTCCGATGAATATTATGGTAAGTAGCCGCATTGCATATAGACGTTTATGCCTTGTTCTATGTCTTGCTAATACGATTCCTCTAATTTTTCTGGATTTATTTGTCTGTTGTTCACGTAATTTAAATTTTAAGGTGAAAACGTGTTACATATTGCCATAGTAAACGAAGATCCGTCTATGGTGAAATTTCTCTTGGCAGCCAACGTAAATATCCAAGAACGATGTTTCGGCAACTTCATGTGCCCGGAAGACCAAAAATCTTCGAGATTCGATTCGCTGGATCACGAATGGGTCAATGTTTGTCCGGAAACCAACTACGATGGGTAAGTTTGATTCTGTCAGAACAATATTACTTTGAAATTGTTCTGGAATTTTCTAGATATGTTTATTGGGGCGAATATCCATTATCGTTTGCGGCATGTTTAGGACAAGAAGAAAGTTTTCGTTTGATTCTAGCAAAAGGTGCAGACCTAGATGCTCAAGATACTAATGGAAATACAATTTTGCATTTGCTTGTGATTTATTCCAAAGTAGTAAGTTTAATAAATATAAAATAAACAGAACAATTTCGCAATATTCAACAACAATTAATTGTTATTATTGATAATATTATTATGATTGTTATATCGATTTTAGGAACTTTTCGATATGGCCTATGAAGTTGGAGCTAGCCTACCGATCAAAAACGTACAAAACTTAACTCCCCTTACACTTACAGCAAAACTGGCACGTATGGATATATTTTTCCATATTTTGAAACTGGAGAGAGAAATATACTGGCAAATTGGTAACTGAAACTAATTTCAAAGTTATAGGTACTATTGTTCGATATTTTAATCTCTTCAAGAATAGATTTTTTCATGACTGAAAACCGATAATTTTTGTGGGTACTACCGTACTACTTACTTGTTGTTCTTTTTTTAATTTTTAGGAAGCATCACTTGTGCAGCTTATCCTCTGTCCCAAATTGATACGATAGACACTATAACTGGTCAAATAAGTAAAACATCCGCGCTAAACTTAGTTGTGTTTGGTGTAAGTATTGAGGAATTCACATTTCATTCAAACTCTTGCCAAAATCTGTTGTCACATCAAAAATTGAATCAATTGCCACTTGAAAAAACACATAAAGATTTATACTTTGTAAGAGAAAGCGTTGGCATCTAGAATTAGATAAAAAACAGCATATTAGAAATGATCGGTTTGGCTAGAATATTTAACAAAAAGATCACATTTATAGGACAAAGACGAACATCTAGAACTTCTGGATGGAGTATTAGTGGACCTATTGAACGCCAAATGGAACACTTTTGTGAAATTCAAATTTTATAGACAATTTTTTACATTCGCTTTCTACTTTATCATTTCTCTTATAGGTAAGTTATTTTAATTACAATAAGTGAAATAAAGGGTAAATCATGGAATGAAGGGTAATATTTAATGTAAATTATTGCTCTTCATCTTCTAAATGCACTGGCTGCATCTTTTCAGCTTGATTTCTTTGTTACCGTATCTACTTTTCCAATTTCCATCATCAGCCTATATACCTAATAATTATTGTTTTTAGCTTTCATCCATAGACCAGGTCCATCAATTCACGCAGAAGTTTCCAAAACAAGTACAAACACGACTAAGCACACAAGCGCTTTCAATATAACTCCGGAAAATGTATCTGCAGCTTTAAACCTAACAAGTCAAATAATGAAAAACTTGCATAAAGCCGTCAAAAAAGGTAAGTGATGTTACGGGTTCAAATATCAATTTTTCTTTTACCAAAAATGTATTCAGTGACTTCCTAAAATTGTCGGTACCATCTGGTTAATTTTTGAAAGTAGATAATTGATTTATTGTTTTTGAGAGCTAGACAGCTATTTCTGAGTTCTGGTTCTGATGAGCTGGGATCCTATAAAACAGGATGGAAAAATAGTTTGGATGTTTCAATTGACTTGAATTTCAATAACGTCTTGGGTAATTCAACTTAGGTCGTTAGAATTTTCTCAATTGACAGGATTCTGGACTCGAGCTGGAGGGGATTCGTAACCTCTTCCTTTTAGAAAAAGATTTCTGACCAGGTGGTTGATTTTTCTTCTTGGCTCTGCCGATTTAATAAGTAGCCTACTTTCACTTTAATTTTGAAATTAAGTTTCGTTTTGCCTTCCTTATTACGCTGTGCAACCGTTCTGGCTTTATGCTGATTTAACATAATTAAAGTTGAAATTGACTGGTACGGTTACGATTTAATTTTCCACTCCAAGGCCATATAACAACAAGGGTAAGATTTCTCAGTTTTCTAGTTTCTTTATACTCCCTTCCTAAAACCATCCTTACTCAGAAAATGTAACTATTAACATTAATTGTCCTAACTTACCCCTTGTATGATTTGTATCAGAAATCCTTTCTTATACTTGATTCTCTTTAAGCCTGCTCATACTGCTCATAACTGCTCACATGTGCTCATAACTGCTCACACGTGCTCATAACCGCTTGCATGTGCTCATAACTGCTCACACGTCTCTATAACTGATTACACGTGTCTCTATTGGCTTCCATCTACCTCTATCTACCTCTATCTGTTCTACCTACTTCTATTGGCTTATAACTGCTTCCATCTGCTTGCTTATGACCGTCTGTACCCAAATCTAGTCCTGGTTTCGAGGCCTAGCTATACCACCATTAGTGGCAAATTACAGGATAGATTCCCCCTATACTAGACCATCCTACGTTCTATCTTCTGGAAGGTAATGCTCGAGGTAAGTTTTGGCAGTTTAAAGGAACAATTGTTGGGTAAGCCTATTTTTATTATCAACAGTGGATTCTGATTCATGGGCAGCAATTTAAAGTATAGCCTAATTCCTGGATAAATAGAGGTATATTTAGTTTATAGGTTAGTTTCATTTATTATTAATCATTACCTTTTATTTACGACTAATGTATAATGTGCGTATTATATTTGTGATTTTGGCAGTATAATGACATATGTTATTCCTCCAGGGATTAATGACGAGTAGCGGGATTAATGGTCATTATTCCACAAAAGTGTCAGTGTCAAACGTGTACTGCCTGTGGATTTGTATTGAAAATTATGAGACAGATGAAATTTGTTCATTGAAAATCTCAAATAAATTAATTTGTCATAAATAAAGTAGAGTATACTACTCGCAATAATGGCTATTATTCCCTCGCAATGTTACTCCCTCGCCGCTAACGCGGCTCAGTTCGTAATAATCCTCGGGAATAATAGCTATCATTATTGACTCGTGGTATAATCTACTATTATATTGATCTCTATGACTGATTATTATTAATGGGACTATAATAACTAGAGTATAGCTTACGTATTAAGTAAAGCTTTGCACCTCAAAAACTTTGATAGTATTTGCGTTTTTGATATAAATTTGCAGTATTTGATTTAATATGAGAGTACTTTCGCTGTTTCCTGTTTTGTTTTTAAGAGCGGATACTTTCTTTCTGGAGGGCTAAAACAGGTGGCGTCCTATATTATGTATTATCCACGACCACTCTACTGAAGAGTTAGTTGGCTGCCCTATAAGGAAGTACTCCAGTACAGTAATATATCGTTGGCCACCTTCTGGGTTATAGTAGTTCTGGTCCTGGATTGACAATAGTCTGGGCAAAAAAATACTTGTGACAAATTCTAATCAATTTTTCTTATGACAGTGATATTTACTTTGCATGATTTTCTCTTATGTCCAATTTTCTAGATAACATGGATCATAACGATGACGATGATTACGATGTCGAAGAATGGTGGGATAATTTACAAGAAGAATGCAGATTGATGAATCTAGACAAAGAAGAGTCGCAAGTTAGATTCGCCGCTGAAATCGGTATAACTTTTGGTGCTTTTTTTTATCTGGCAGCTGCTGTGAGGGAAGCTCGCTTTCTAGGGCTGCGGATGTTCTTTGAGAACTTGGTAGGGGAAAAACAATTTTTTCATTGCACCTAATTAAATATCCACGTTCTTGTTTAGATGACCGCACCTTCTCGTGTCATGTTTCTCTTTTCTTGTATTCTGGTGTTTGGGGTGATACCGTGGTTGCGCTTGTTGTGTCTTGATGAAATTGAAGACGTCATCGCGGTAGTTGTAATGTTGACTACAGCTCCGTATTTCCTGTTTTTTTGTAGGTAGGTACTATAAAATATTCCTTTTCCTGTTATTTACGTAACATATCTTTCGTTATATTTTAGAGGCTTCAAAACAGTCGGCCCTTTTGTAGTTATGATCTACCGCATGGTGATGGGTGATCTTTTGCGTTTTGCCGCTATATACATGGTATTTGTTATGGGATTTTCTCAAGGTAAGAAATATTGCATTGTCCATGTCACACAAATAATGTCTAATATTTGTTTAGCTTACTACATAATATTTTTATCATTCGATAATCCATTGACACCTGAAGATGTTGACGATTCTAAAACTAATCCAATGTCCACTCCTGCTGAATCAATAATGGCAATGTTTCTTATGTCAATGACCAACTTTGGAGATTATTATAACGCCTTTGCAAGAACCGAACATGAATATGAAGCGAAAGTAAGGACACAACATGATAACGGCTCAAGCTTAATGCTTTTTTCCAGATTTTGTTTGTTATTTTTATGGCAATTGTTGCCATTCTACTTATCAACATGTTGATCGCAATGATGGGTAATACTTACCAAAAAATCGCGGAGACTCGCAACGAGTGGCAGAGACAGTGGGCTCGCATTGTACTAGTGGTGGAAAGAGGTGTCAGTCCTCCGGAGCGGCTCCGTCAACTTAATGTTTATTCTCAACCCATGAGCGATGGTAAAAGAGCACTGGTACTAAGACTTAACCAGTCAGTAAGTAAAAAATCTTTATCATTCTCAACATCATCTTTTCCTTTATACGCTTCTTTCTATGTTTGCAAATTTACTATCGATATCTTGTTGCAAAACCTCCTTGAATGCTGTTAAACCTTCAGTTTTTAACAAGAGCTGTATCGATAGTGGTGCCACGAGACGAGACTAGACGAGACTTAGGGTTGGTCTCGTCTAGTCTCGACACCTTGAGACGAGACCATGACACGAGTGGTCTCGTCTGGTCTTATACAGGGTGTCCAAAAAATAGCGTAAAAACTCTTCTCTACGTGGTGGAAGACCCTACAAGGAACCCCAGAAAAATACTTTAAAAAATCTAGTGGCATTCTTAAGAAAGTTATTTGCATTTTAATATTTATTAAAATTGGCAACACTGAAAATATCCCGTTGACAATATGTCAGAGAATTAGAGGAGAGTGGGGCAGCTTTGACATGTTAAGGTTTACAAGATTTTAAAAAAGATTTGTATTTACAGAAATAAACACAGCTTTATCTAAACATAGTGATAATATTTCTTTAGTAGGTAATAGGCTTTTTAAATCAATATCGTATAAATTCAAAGAGAAAAATATTTTTATTTGCATCAATGTCAAATGACGAACTTGCCCCTCCCCTAGGGGGCAAATTCGACAGCATTATTCTCATACAAATACCTAAATTTTATTTTCTACCCAAATCACAGCAAAAATTGACTACTCTTCTTCGTATGCATCAGATCAATCTCCAACCATATTGACATCCTAGAACCATAAATAATAGTTCGACAGTGCGGAAATAACGATTGGCAAAGTTACCCCACCCAAGCGGATTCTAGTGAAATATTTAAAAACATCTTACAGGAGCCTTTTTCACCGCCCATTATCAAATATTTCTACAAAAGATGGATCAAAGTCACTCTGTAAAAATTAACTTGCAAAATAGAACGCTCTAACGGAACGAAAGTATTATTAAAGTAAAAGCCAATCCTTAGATCAGAAATTTAAAATCTCGATAATTGCGTTTTATGCGACAAATTGAGTAGCTACCTTCTCCAGACTTAAGGAGCAACTAACTGATACCAAAGTCTGATACGTACGATTCACCCTCAAGCCAGTTTCGGAAATTCCGAATCCAACCGGTTCTTAGTAAAGCGTGGTGACAAACTTGCCCCGCATGTCGAAGTTGCCCCACTCTCCCCTAAATTAAATACCCATGTAATTACCTGAAGAATTCGAAGGTGAATTTTCACATCTACCTCTTCATATTACCAAGAATAATGCTAGAGAAGGATTTTTTTAATTTAATTATTTTTCTAGGGTTTCTCAAAGGGTTCCCTACTATGTGGAGAGCTTTTACGCTATTTTTCGGATACCCTGTATTTATGGTTTTTATTTTTATATCATAACAGAAGTCCAAACTGCCACAGTGAAAAAGCAATTAGTAAAAAATCACAGTGAAGAGTAACCGTGATATTTAATTTACTGATTTCATATTCAAATAGCTCAAAATAGTCCAATAATAAAGCTATGAAATCAAATTTTGAGTGTGATCTCGAGACTCGAGACTACACGAGACTCTCGCCAAGTCTGGTCTCGTCTCGTCGAGACTTCACGAGACGAGACCAAAAGCCAGTCTTGTCTCGAAAAGTCGAGACGAGACGAGACGAGTCTCGAGTCTCGCGGCATCACTATGTATCGAAAAAAAATACGAGAGGCCCCTATCTAGAAAGCAAAGCCCCCTGGGGGGGCCTTTCGGACGAAATTTGGAGGGTAAAAGGGGTCTGAAAAAATTGATATTTCAAGTTTCAGGCCTCTACGACTTACCGGAAAGGTTTTAGCCCCTATCCCCCCAATTTTGAAAAAGGACGTGTAATGGGGTATACACGTCTAGCACTTTTCCAAATTTCGAAAAATAAAAAATACCATTAAATAAAGGAGCAAAAAATACGTCGAAAATATTTCTAGGCGTTTTTCGCTCCGACGCTTCCTAAGCCCGCAAAAAAATAAAAGTTCTCTTCAAAACCATGAAAAGAGCTTCATACTTTACATATACAGAGTGTGTTACTAAGCGCGCGGTGGTCCATATCTCTTATACTAACGAAGATCGAAGAAAAAACTAAACCTTTAATGCCTAGGCAGTAAAAATACACCTTTTGAGCCTGTCAAGTATCATTAAAAAGTCACTTTTCTGGGTGCGTTATTTCTGAACGTAATTGGGGTGTTGCAGTAAATGTCAACGTCAAACCCGTTAAAAACCTTGGGGCATTTTTCAACCCAGTCCCTGGGGCCAGTTCAGGAATGACACACCCAGTGTGAGTGTGACACCGGTGCGACGTCCTAACTGTTCAAAAATGCTAGACGGTGCTATGGGCCCAATGGCCAATTGTCAATTGAGACACACCGATAAAATCGCACTCGCACCCTGTGCGTTATTTCTGAACTCGGCCCTGTGGTATTGGCTTGGAAGACAGACGGTCAGAATTCTCTCAAAGAACAATGAGAAGCTGAATAGATAGAAAAACAATATAAATAGTAGGTATGTAGTAGTTTGTACAGGGTGGCCCGTTTATTTTGTCCTATCTCGGTATATGGAAATCTAGATATTTTAGGAGAAAAAGTTAAATACAAAAGTTGTAGGGCTTAAATCATTAATTTGTTTTTTTATATTTGCGCATATACAGGGGGATTCAAAAAAAAGTGTGACACATCAGATTTAATTTTTTTTAATAGAACACCCTGTATATTTTTGGTATTTTGCGTTTTTCAACCCAGTCCTTAGGTGGGGTAATTTGGGCGCACTCTGGGCACGTCAGCATTCGATTTCTGAACGATTCCAGCGTTACGCTCCGAGTAAGCAATTGTTAATTTATGAACGGTTTAGAGTTACTCTAGGGTCACTCTCACACCCAGAGTGCTATTTCTGAAAGCAACCCTGACGTGACCCTAGCGTACGACGAGGTTGACGGGGATGGTGACAATAGACCCACGTTGCCAGTTGTACTTAGGGCGATTTCGATTGGAATCTGGTCCGGTTTCGGCGTCGGCGTTTTTGAAAGCACCCCATTCATGTCCTTGGATGTAAATTTTTCAGTGTTGTCCATGATTAGGTACTCATTATTTCCGGAATTTTCTTGAAGATCATTCCTGTTTTTCTTGCTTTCATTCAGTTTTCTCTCGAGATAGGAATTTTTTTCACGAAGAAGTGTTGCTCTTCCAAAATTCGATTTTTTTTTGCCCTGTGGCTCATCAACTAGGATCCTTAGCAAGCCTACCTCAGTATCTGACTCTTTTGAGGTTAGGTCTATTGACTCACCAACTTCATGGAAACAACTTGCAGTTTTCGACGCTGCAGCCTGTCTAAAACATGCAGGATAGAAGAGACATGAGCAATGCTTGAGCTGAACACTATTTTTTACAGATTTATTACAATAAACACAATTTTTCGATTTTATTTTGAACACCGTGATCGCGTGTATCTCTTGCCATGGTTGACACTGGTAATGCTATTTCTGAGTTTCAGATTCACTTGCGATATGTTTTATTTGATAAAAAGATACTAATTATTAGATCCTGAAACTATGAAGTCGTTCTGATTCCTTGTAGGTAGGTAGGTAGTTTTCAGAACCTTCTAGATAATATTTATCAAGAATTTTACAAGAATTTTTGGTACACACAAGGAAAAGGAAAAAAATAAACCGTAATTCTGTTTCTGAGTTTCAGATTCACTTGCGATTTGTTTTATTTGATAAAAATATCGTAATTATAAGATCTTGAAACTTTGAAGTAGCTTTGATTCCTTGTAGTACTTTTCAGAACTTTCTAGATGTGATTTATTAAGAATTTTACAAGAATTTTTGGTACAGTCAACAAAAAAAAAACCCGTAATTCTGTTTCTGAGTTTCAGATTCACTTGCGATTTGTTTTATTTGATGAAAAGACACTAATTATCAGATTTTAAAAGTTTGAAGTCGCTCTGATTCCTTGAAGTTTTTTCAGAACCTGCCAAAGTGCCAAAGGTGGCTTATTAGCAATTTTACAAGAATTTTTGGTATAGACGACAAAAAATAAAACAGTTATTCTATTTCTGACTTTCAGATTAACTTATGATTTGTTTTAACTAATAAAAAGAGCCGAATAATCAAATCTTGAGAGTTTGAAGTAGATCTGATTACTCGAAGTATTTTCCAGAACTTTCCAAAGTTGATTTATTAGGAATTTAAGAAGAATTTTTGGTAGGTACACACTACGAAAAAAAAATTGAATTCTATTTCTGAGTTTCAGATTCACTCGTGATTTGTTTTAATTGATTAAAAGAGCCTTATAATCAGATCTTGAAAGTTAGAAGTAGATCTGATTTCTTGAAGTATTTTTCAGAACTTTCCAAAATTGATTTATTCGGAATTTTACAAGAATTTTTGAAGATGAAGAAAAAAAACCGTAGTTCTATTTCTGAATTTCATATTCACTTGCGATCTCTTTCATTTGATAAAAAGACGCTAGTTATCCGATCCTAGAAGTTTGAAGTCGTTCTGATTCCTTGAAGTATTTTTTGGAAGTTTCCAAAGGTGATTTATTAGTAATTTTACAAAAATTTAAGGTGAAGACAACGAAAAAAAAAAGAGTTTCGGATTCACTTGCGATTTGGTTCATTTGATAAAAAGACCCCAATTATCAGATCCTAAAAGTTTGAAGTCGCCCCGATTTCTTGAAGGATTTTTGAGAACCTTCCAATTGATTAAGTAGCAATTCTACAAGAATTTTTTCTAATAACGACGAAAAAATATCATAATTCTACTTCTAAATTTTAGATTCACCTCAGATTTGTATTATAAGATTAAAGGGTTTCAATTATCTAATTCTAAGAGTTTGAAGTCGTTCTGATTCCTTGAAGTATTTTTCCAAAACTTTCAAAGGTGATTTATCAGCAATTTTACAAAAAAAAAAAATGTATTAACGACGAAAAAATATCATAATTCTATTACTTAATTTCAGATTCGCCTCATATATCAGATAAAAAGACTCCAATTGATAAATCCTGAATGTTTGAAGTCGTTTTGATTCCCTGAAGTATTTTTCTGAGGTGTCAGAACCTTCCATAAGACTGGACGATTTGTGTCTCGATATTGCTTAAAAAGTGTAATTTTTTCCCTAACTTGTTAATTGAAACAGGTCTCAGAAATATTTTCTTGGGGGCCCTACGTTGGGCGCCAATTTGTTACAAATAATACTAGGTTATTTGTACTTTAAGACAAGAGAACCTTTAGGGTCGTGGAATTTAAAAAATTAAGATAACGTGTAGCCGCTTTATGTGCAAATGAAACCACTTAAAATCCAACAAATAATAATTTTATTTTATATTTGTAATATATGGAAAAATCTACTTTCTACTGACCTAAAATACTTTTTTTAGGACGAAGAAAAAGAAGAAATGAAAGACATATTGGAAATCAAGAGACGACATGACAGACACGTGAAAAAACGCAAAGACAAAGAAGCCGGCAATAAAAGCGTTTCATTGGCCAACGTCCAAGAAAAATCTGGAACTACTATTAAAATACAACAATAAATGCCATTATTTATTTTTAAGCAAATTAATAGACAACAATTGTTATTTGTCATTTATTAAAATTTCCCAGGTGTTTCCTGAATCGGCAAAGCAGGCCCTCAGCATTTCTTCTGCCAGGTGAGTTTCCTTATGAGGCGGCACTGATATCCTAAAAAAAATGAAATAGATAATTTAGACATCTCAATTATCTATCCATAGATGAAAGTAAACAATAATCCAAGAATTACATATATTAGACTCTCATTTATAATACTTTAGCCCTCGCTATCAGCAAATGTTTAAAACCTTTGTGTGCTTTGGAGAGACATTTCCAGGTGCGATGGTATTCTTTCGCCTAATATTTTATTGTAAATAATATGATTTAAAATAAATCACGTATTTCATTTTCATTGCATTATCCCAAATCTGGTTTTTTCCAGGACAAAGTAAGAAATAGAGGCGAGAAATTCCCAAGTACCAAAGCTTACTTGTAAAAAGTATCAACAGCTGGGCATAATATGTCAATTGCTTGTTTTGGCTCATCCCTATCCATCAACTCGAAAGCCACCATGTACTGATCTTCGCACCACTTAAGCATTGATTCTCTATCAGACAAATCAATAGTGCTTTTGCATTTTGGGCACTTGATTGTCCGCCGAGCCGTAGACAGGGTGAATATATGGAGACATTGGCTTGTGGGACATCTTAAAATGGTTTCAAAATCATGAAGAATTTTATAAATATGGACATTACCTCAATCGTTTACTAACAGCCTCTAATCCTTGTCCGATTGTAGGCCAATTCTGTTGACAAGCTAAGCATTGACAGTCGAACCAATATCTGGAAGACAATGATCTTTTTCGGTCAGCTAAGGATTTTCTTGAAAATATGGGACCGTAATTTTCTGGAACCAGCTCGTTCGGTTCAAGAGGTCTCGTAGAAGTGAGAACTATATCTTTTCCTACAAAGTGTCTGGAAATACAATTTAATTTTTATATGCAATACTTAAATACTCAAATCGTAATAAATTAATGTATGTACAAGACATTCCTAAATTAGAAAGATAGATTCCTACTTCTTATATCTTATAAGTCAAAGTTAAATTCAGGTAATCAATCATAAATGATTAAGATATTTACCTTGATAGAGCGGGATGGCAGTCATGATTGAACAAAGAAGCCGTTAAGTACACTGCAACTCCAATATAAGCAGGCTTTGAAGTCTTTATTCTTGAATTTGGAGCGTGCCTTGTTTCGTATATTTCATGTGCATTAAATTGCAACATTTGTAAGTTGAATAAAAGCATTTCTCCAACTTTGTATTCAGTTTCGGTTGGTGTGACTATAATAAACATTGGTTAAAAAAACCAATTCAAAAAAGAGCTAAGAAAATACCATTTTTATTAGAAGATCCGAAGAAGTTGGACTTTTGAAGGCATCTTAGTAAAAATGAGGCCATTAATGTTCTTTGTAAAAAATCATTCGGGGGACGAAGTTGTGAATTAGTGCAGAGTTTATATACCTGAAAATAACCGCAATGTAAGTTTTTGGATTTGGAACGGAAAGCTATGGATATTAAAATGAGAAGCTAACTAAAGTTTTGATAAATGAAATTTAAATTGCTAGAATAAACCAGAAGAAAGAAACTCAGATAATAAAAATCCAAACTGGCACTGAAGTGAAGTAACAATTAATGATATTGTTATACGAATAGTTCAATCAAATGGCAATTTTTTGGTAAAATAAATGCGGTAGAAGGTTTTTCAACGGAATTATATGTTTTTTGGAGTGCTGAATACGAATCTGAAGTTTGCTGCCTTGTAGCAGGACCGGCTGAGACCGAAAATCGCGAAAAACCTGGAAATTTTCGGACTTTTTCCAGTTTTCTGGTCATATCTTGCAAACGACACATCAAACGGAAAATGTCATAATTTTCAAAGTTGAAGAGCATAAAATTCTGTGTCGAATGACCTTTGTCACTATTAAATTTTTTGAGCCTATACTTCACCAAATATTGAGTTTATTGAGCACCAAAATTTTAAATTTAGATCAATATACCTATTTTCAGGTAATTCCACGTAATTCTCCCGGAATTTCAATTTATTCTCGTGAAATTCCAGAAAATTCCTGTAAAAATTACAATAAATTTTCATGCAAATTTAAAAACTGCGAAAGAATAACGAGGAAATTTTCCGAGTATTCGACTCAATGCCTCCGGAATTTTTTTAAGTTAATCTCGTGAAATTCCAGAAAATTCCCATGAAATTCCAAAATATTTACACAAAATTACGTGGAATTTTCGCTTCATTTCAAAAAAAAAATCCTGTAGAATTACATGGAATCGTTATAAAATTCCAAAAAGAAAATTCTTTAGAGTTACTTGTAATTTCAATGGAATTTTGAAGCATTTCTATGGTATCACTTGGAATTCTCGCAAAATTGAAAGAAAAAATCGCAAAAATTTTCGTAAATTACATAAAATTCTTGTGAAATTACTTGAATTTTGTATTAAATTTTCAAGAATTCTCGTGAAATTAAATGGAATTCCCGTGGAATAACACAAAATTTAAGTGAAATTCTGAAATAATATGAAATTCTCGTAAAATTCCGAAAAGTTCTTCTGAAATTACTTAATACTTTAGCAAGATTCCTGTGGAGTAAATCAGAGTTTTAGTGGAATTAAAAAAAAAAAGAAATGTGATATGAAAAAACCCTTCCTACAGAATAAGTAGAAATGCAATAAAATTTCCATGAAATAATGTACTTGAAATTTCAATGAAATTCCGAAAAAATCCTGTAAAATTACTCGAAATTCCAAAAAATTCTTCTGAAATTTCTTAGAAAATTTTAATGAAATAAAATTACCTACTTGAATTTCTCCTGAAATTATTTGGAATTCTAGCAAAATTTGAAAAACATTTCTGTGAAATCAATCAAAAGTTCTCGTGAAATTCCAAAAAATTCACAAAACTACTTAAAAACTCGTATAAATAATTATGAAATTCCCAAAAAAATCGTAAAATTATTTTTTGAATTTCAGCTAAATTCCAAGAAATTTTTATGAAATATCTCAGAATTTCAGTGGAATTCCAAAAAAATTTAGGTGAAATGATCTGAAATACTCATGAACTATCAAAATGTAGATAGTTTATGAAATTACATGGAATTCCAAAAAAACCCTGTGAAAATACAGAAAATTTCTTTGAAACTAATTGAATTTTTAGTGGAATTCCGAAGAATTTTTAGGGAATTCTGGTGTGCAACTTATGAACATTCCTGGAACATTCTACAATTAGAATTTCAGTGTAAATCTGGAAAATTCTTGTAGAAATTCTCATGAAATATCATAAAATTCCTATGAACATTCCTGAAACATTCTACGAACATTCCCGGAACATTCTATGAACATTCCCCGAATATGCTTCAAAAATTAAAAAAAAAAAACATGTTGAAACATTCTATAAAGCAAATTTGAGGGTAAATTTCTCAAAAACTATTTGAGCTAGTAAACTCAAGTTTGACGGCTTTATAAAGAATTCAATGCTCTTCTCATTGATATATAATTTATTCCAATTTGCTTAAAATTTAATAAAGATATGACCATGTCAAAATTTTGAAAATTTTCCAGAACCAAAAATAAGATGTTCTTTTTTTTTTATTCCTGCTTAAAATAGTCATTTGGAATTGATGTCAGGATTGTTTTCACTAATTTTAACCCGTTCTATCGATTGGTAAAGTTAAAATTGAGCAAAACTGAAAAATAAAAAAATCGAGTTTTTCTTAAGGATGCTCCCTTTGAATTCTGATTTCAAAATACATATTCAAACCTCAATTGCTCGGTAACCGTTGAGCAAATTACATTGAAATTTCCAGCATTTGTAGCTTTTATTAAGTTCTAAATTGCCTGAAATTTACAATATTCCAAGATTTATAGTTTTTGAGCAAATTGAGTTTGAGGTTTTTGACAATATTTGGACTAAAAGTCAACTTTGAGGCTCAATTGTGTCAAAAACTATTTGAGCTATCAAACTCAATTTTTGCACGGATTTATAGAGAATTTAATGTTCTTATATAATTTATTTTAATTTGCTCGAAATTTAACAAAGATATGGGTTTGGTGGGTTTATTTGGTTGAGAGATTTATTTTTAATAAAACTCGATGAGTATGATTTATTTTAAAGTGAAAACTTTTTTGGCGGCGATCTGATAATTGGACGAGAATGGAAAGTGATTTGAAAGACGCGTCACGTTTTGGGAAATTTCGTTACACGATAGGAAGAAAGATAGTTGGGGAGCTGGCGTCAAAAACATGCAAGAGTTTTCGCAAGGCAGATATTTTCAAAATAGGTCGTACTTTAGTGCTAGAATGCTAGTGTACAGTCAGCACTCACAGTTCCGGGACAGCTGGCTCTGGGACGCGGGCAAAGTTGTAATTTTAAGAAGCATCTAAACTGTTTTCTCAAAGCTCAAAATTTATAGAAATTTTGCACATTATCTGTTTGAAGGTCACAGATAACGTATGTAAATCGCCAGACGTCTAGTTCGTTGCAAAAAGGGGGTCAGACGTCCTCAAAGTTTTTATTTTATGGCATTTTCTTCGGTGTCCTGTCAAAATATATTTTTGCAGGTATTTGACAAATATATTTGAAGAAAATGCCATAAAATAAAAACTTTGAGGACGTCTGACCCCCTTTTTGCAACGAACTAGACGTCTGACGATTTACATACGTTATCTGTGACCTTCAAACAGATAATGTGCAAAATTTCAATAAACTTTGAGCTTTGAGAAAACAGTTTAGATGCTTCTTAAAATTACAACTTTGCCCGCGTCCCAGAGCCAGCTGTCCCGGAACTGTGAGTGCTGACTGTACACTAGCATTCTAACACTAAAGTACGACCTATTTTGAAAATATCCGCCTTGCGAAAACTCTTGCATGTTTTTGGCGCCACCTCCTGGACTAAGATATAACGTAGAAAAACAGCAAATGATAATGACATCCGACAAACCAAGGATTATAAGCAAGGAGGATTGCCTATTATTGTCAAGCGCCGATATCCTTGTGACGTCAGTACAAATGCGTGACTTACTTTTGTGTTTTTTTCCGTTTTTACCCCGACAGACGCTGTCGAAAAGTTGTATGAGGGGGGATCAATCTTTCAATCGGCCACCCCTTTCAATCAATTAGCTTGCCTAGTATATAAGTATGGCACAGTTAAATTTCTTTGAGAAATAAAGCTAGGTTTGCAAGATTGTCGGAAGCGTAAAGCTAAAAGCTCTTTTTTCTAAAATAAATATGGAGTTGAAATTTGTAGTACTGCAACAGCCCTAAAATGCAATTCCATAAGTAATGTGTGACTCTACAAGAGAAAATTATGCTCGCGAAGTTCCAACAATCAGTACTCATTCACACATAAAAATATTTACTCATTTATTACATTTAGATTAACAAGATGAGAAAATATAATACAATATACATAATATGTACCTATATTCTAGGAAAAATTATGGGAAGACCATATGGTCAGCTGAATAAAAAGAGCAAGTAAGTTGTAGTATAGTGTGGAAATACGCTCTATGGAGAATACCTGACATTGCGGTAGTCCATTTTATTTTACTCTCCTTCGTAAGTTAATTGCAGTTTTCACAAAAGTTCATTAAAATCAGCTTTTTTTGACTGACGATGGCGAGCTTATAAATTCAGCAGTAACAAGGTTAGGGAGACTATTCGATGCAAAATTTCATGCTTTTCAGCTTTGAATACGATTACATTTTTCGTACGATGCGTCATTTGCAAGATATTTCCAGAAAACCGGAAAAAGTCCGAAAATTTCGAGTTTTTCGACCTAAGCCGGTACTGCTACGAGGCAGTAAACTTTAGATTTGTATTCAGCATCCCAAAAAAACATATATTTCCGTTGAAAAACAGGCACTTTTGAACACCATTTGATCAGACTAGAATATGAAGATTTTTACGCCTAAAATTCAACAAAACTTACTCTTTCATTATCTCGATTATCATAAATTTCTAAACACTTTTCCAAACCATTTTGAGTAATCATTCTCAAGGCAGTATGCCCCAATATACTCATCCCAGACCCAATTAATAAATCCAGGTATTTACATTCGAAACGATGGTACGTTGATAGGGCTTTATCCCTGCATTCTACAGAACAAAAGGCCACACTGGCGCAATCATAGCAGCCAAATGGTGATTTTAAACTAAAAACAAAATTAGTTGACTTTGATTATTCTTAAATAATAATTACATTTGAAAACAATGGTGGCAATGAGATCCAAACATTTCGGGCAGGAGACAAGCTGCGTGAGGGCTTTCCACTACCAAAGTTTCTCCAGTGATAATCTTTTCATTAGCTACAATATACCTGCCCATGTTTTCTGTTTTCTTTATGGAAAGTTTGTCGCTTGCACTTGGAAGATTGTTGTTGCACTTTCCTTGGATCTTCGGTGTATCTTGAATAATAAACTTAGAACTTTGAAACCTTATTTAATTCAATTAATACCTGTCAAAATATTTTCTTTTTCTTTGATATGACAAGTTTCTTGTTTTTCTTTAGTTAGCAAGTGTAGTTTCTCATCATAGCCTCGCAGAAGTTTTTCAGCCAGCCCAAAAGATACTGTAGCTTTATTGGCTTCACCTATACTAGCATAACATATTCCCATATTCCAAAAAGCCTCTGCTTTATATGACTCGGATAAATCTTCTTTCAAAGCTTGCTGAATGTCGACAAGCGCTTTTGAAAACTTGTGCAACTTCATGTTGGCTTTTGATCTTCCCCATAAGGCCAACGACAAGGATGCGGTTGACTCAAGGCATTTTTTATCTAAAAAATTGTGTCATTCATTTTATTGATGGAGTCGGAAATAGATGTAAGGGTCCTGTATAGTAATTGTGATTTTGAAGTGAATAATAATTATCAATAACTTTCAAAAGTCCAAACGATGTTCGCATTAGAGTGCGCTATCAAAGGCAATATTTTTTTTTTTAAAATTAAGTAAAATTTAGATAATTACTTACTATTACTTGGAGCTCTCAAGACGCTTTGACAAAAAGCCAATAGAGCTTTTGTATATTCGTTTTTCTTCAAAAAAGCTTCGCCTTCCAAACGCTTTTTTTGAGACAACTCCGCATTTTTGTTTCTATAAACTTCCTTGACATTAGAAAGAAAATTTGTTACCAATTCCGCAGTCTGAAAATATTTCAGGTAAGTAATAAATACATACTAATAAATGTATTACTTACTTTTTGTGATGTATATATACATTTGATTCTCTGTTCATCCGTATGTAGTTTTCCAAAAACATTTCTAATCCAATCATCTCCAGCTTCATTTGCTAGATAATCGGCGAAATTCAAGAAAAAACCCTTGGAATTTGACTGAAGAGTTTTTTCACTGCAAGTATTTCTATAAGTCAAATCTTGAAATGACTTATCAGACATGTTTTGAGTAAAATTAACGGTAATTCAGTTTACAACTGCTATGCTATTGGTGTTATGGTCTATTTTTAGTGCAGATGCCGGTTAAAAGCTCTAAAAATACCTACGCTGGCTTTTGCAATATATACCTACCTACCTATTTATAAATTTGTAACTACTAGGAAGACTCTTTAATACCTATATATAATAATTAAAAACAATTTGTATATATTATCAATCAATAGAAAATATCTTGCTCAATGTACCTACCTGCTTTTGCTCCTCGATCAAAACATGAGATATTCAAATTCAAACTCGATGTTTATGCAAAAACAAGCTGCAGAAGACCAGAAGTTAACTGTTTAAAAATTATTCCATCGTCGACGCATAAAATTCAACAATCATTTTCATAAAATGTAATCATAATAATATTAACTGCCATAAGTGCCATGGCACGAAAGCAATAATAAAACGTAAAGTGATATTTTCCATAGTTTACGGCAATGTAGCCGTCAAGTAGGCAGTTATTTAAATTCCACAGGCGTACAAATTATGTCTCACATTTCAGATTCGTATCGGTGAGTAAAGGGTCATCGATAATACTCTCTTTTAATTTGTATTTATGGAAAGATACTCAGCTCAATAATATTTTCTATATTAACGCAGACTCGTATTTAGGGAGAGTTTGTTTTGACCACCAAATAAATGAAGAATGTTAAGTGAACCTAAGTTTATTTGTCTCTTTGTTTCACGAGGGTTTGTACTTTTGACATATTATTATTTGCCTTCATTTTTTAACAAATAAAATTCGACTGATACAAATTCATTTGATTCAGTCAAATTTTATTTGTTAAAAGAGGAAGGCAAATGATGTCAAAAGTACAAATCCTCGTGAAACAAACATTATATTTATCCGATTCGATGTTTTTCTAGCTAGATTCCATTTCAAAATAAAGATAACAATATAATTATAACTAGATTACCAATATCAAATAATCTATGTTTAATATGTCCAGACCAAATAATAGCATAATATCACAATTTGGACCGTAAAATACTACTACCGTATATCTATCAAATGAGCCTCCAAAAGGATCAATCGCAGGATGAGTATTTAGTAGAGCAAGACTATAGGCGAGAGGAGTATGACCCCCATAATTAGTTCTATGGACAGTTACAGAAAGGATCTCACTTCTTCAGAGAGGTCGGCATGGTGTACTTTCAGAGAGATTTTACTGAGAAGATGAGATGATGGGCTGTTTCCGTTACTCAGTTTAAAAATGAAGTACAAGTCGGAAAATTTTCTCCTGTTCTCACGTGATGGAAAACAAAAATGAAGTTAGACATCTTCTGTCATATCAAGTTTATAGGCACAATATTTTATAAACTTGCGTTGAACTCTCTCAAGCCGGTCCTTATGGATGTAATAAAATGGTGACCATATAGTCGGAGAACGAGCAACGTCTCAGATGCACCCTTTATAACACAACGCGAACAATCACCTAAAAAAAATGTTTTCTTATGTGAATTGACCTGGCGGATCCGATTTTGGAGTTCGCCAGTCAATCTGGAATTGCGAAACTGATCAAAGCTGGCATTTTCCCAACAATTTTATGGATTTTTCTAAATTTTCACTCAACACGTGAATATGAGCGGAGTATTTTTTCGCGCTACGCGGAGACCGAGTTTGACACTCACGGCCGAAGATAAATGGTGCGATAGTCATTGCCTTAAACCAAGAACTATTTTCCGTCTATTTTACCGGTCAAAGTGACTTTCGTGTCAAGAACTACCAACAGAATTAACATCTAGAAATAAGAGAACGAATTGTAAAGTTTTGTGGCAACCAGGGCCCTGGGTAAGAGAAGAAAACACCATTTTCGGTAAGTACTCTCACGGAAATCACAGTTGGATTTTTAACTTATGGAATTCTTATCGTCTTTTTATGTAGCTCGCAAAGCGCAAATCCAGCAATAAAATTTGGTCCATTGCATTAGCTATTATTTCAAGTGTGAGTTAACAAAGACAAGATTCAAAATTTCCAATACTAACCTTCTAAGTTCTTCCTGTCTGTATACTCTGGAACCATTCCACTGTTTTTTCACCAAAACCAATAGCTCGAAGCTTGGCCACAAGTAAGTTATGATTCACCTTGTCAAATGCCTTGGAGAAGACTGTATAGACTACGTCAACTTGAAACCCGCTCTGCAAGGCATTCAACAAATCTGTCTTAAGCCGGTCCCAGACGCTACGTGTATTCGGCGAATATTCAGTATTCGGGCTTATTCGCGTAGCGTGTGGGAAGGTAACTTTGGCGAATATTCGTCCTTCGTCATTTTCCCGCCAATTGTCGGTCAGTGTCGCAAGGTTGATTTTTGCATTTTTAGTTATTTTTTATTAAAATAAGAAATGGAGTAGACCGATGAATTAACGTTAGAATTTTTATTCGCCTATTTGCCGAATACACGTAGCGTTTGGGACCGGCTTTATAAGATATCAAGCTAGAAATGGTAAACCTACCACGAACGAAGCTGTGTTGATGAATATCGATGAATTGTTTACATTTCCAGCTTAATTGATCATACAAGGCTATCAAGGAGTTTGGGAATTGCAGATTGCTTAAAAATGCTCCTCTAATTACTTACACAGTTAAATAAAAGTTGTTACTGTTTGTGAAGTGAGTTAGTTCTAGGTTTAAGTGAACCCGGAATCCGTGATGATAATTTGGTGTCAGAGTCAGAAGTGCGATTATTAGTAAGACAATCGGTGCATTAATTTGAGGTAATTAGTAGGATCAGCAAGATGATTGATGGTGCATTAATTTGGGCTGAATAGTGAAATAAATGGCAAGATAATTACTGGACTATGAGTTAACTAGGTCGATTATTAGCAAGTGGTGTATCAATTTGAGCTAATTAGTGCGGGAACAATCAGTGAACTCTTATTGAACTGAAATAGTGACTTCATTACTGGCTTCAACATCGAGCAACAAACTCAAAAGCGGATTTTCTGGAAATTTCTAGAAACTTTAATAGAATTCTATTTGACAACCGTGAGTGATACAGGAATAGTAACTTCATTACTGATTTAAGCATCGAAAAACAAGTCTACAGAGTGAACATTCCATTGTGTTCTATTTGAAAATTTGACTTGACTGATATTAGAGTTAAGCTACCACCATATAACAGAAAGACATCGTGGGCAGACGTCAATCCGAGATTCTTATTGGTTATTGCAATGGCTAATGACTGGAGCTCCGATGATATAGCTAAACGCTTGATTGTAGCGTTGCGTGGTCCTGCCTTAGACCTATAACGCTATGTCCAACGTGAACACGATACGAGCGGTGCGTGCGATGCGGTGAACGTCTGCGTTTAAACCTATGTATTTAAATTAGCATGTCCAAAGTAGATGCATTGCGCGGGCGTTGCGGGCGATTTTGTGTACCCGCAACGCACGCTTTGTTTAAAATACAAACATATTTGAATTTGCACGCAGAACTCGTACGACGGATGCCGACGATGGAAGAATTTATTAATGAAATTCAGAAACGTGATATTTTATGGAATAAAATAAATGCATTTGGAATTTGGATCTGCACGTAGCTGTTGATATAAATGATGAAATTCTTCCAACTTTAATCGTTTTTGAAATATTTCGTAGGGTGATTGCTTTTTCTTCCTTGGCCATTCTTCCTAATCTTTTCAATTTCAGTATACTATTTCTAATAAAAGTACAGGTTCTGGTTCTTCCGTTTCATAAATGCAAAGCAACGCAAGAGACAAGGAACAACGACCGACAATATCGTGGGCACGTTGGACACAAACGCATTTGCCGCGTTTTTTCAACGGTGCGTGCGTTTGCCGCATCGCACGCACCGCTTGTATCGTGTTCACGTTGGACATAGCGTTAGAGACACTTCCGTCAGCTTTTGAAGAAATCTATGGTGAAAGGCAGCTTTACTAGCTAAAACTAAGAAGAAAGCAACAAAAATCTTTGTGCAGCTCTTTGTTGCCTACAAGAAATTGAAACCGATATCTGCCGTCTGGTTAATTTGGCGTATCCCGGGAGAGCAAAAGAAATGCGGGAACAACTGGGGAGAAAGAGCCAATGGGAGAAATTAACGGCACGATAATGAAGGAATTTCTCGAAAAAATACCGAAGACTTCTCCCGCTTCGAGAGAAGGGGACATCTTAAGAGAGATACATAGTAGAGTTTAAATAAAGTATAAATTGAATAAAGGAAACGTCGCCAACGAATAGTTGGTCTTTGTCTCCTTTCCCATAACCCAAAATCTCAACAAACAGATTGAACCAGGGAAATGAAATCTCTGTAATATAGTAGCGTATGTTTGAGATCTCATTTCCGTTTTAGTGCTGCTCAGCCTTCAAAGTGTAACTTAAGCAAGAGCTCTGAATGTTATCCCTCCTGCGGAAAAAGAGAATATTTCAAACGTGACTGGCAGAAGATACGAGAAAATAAGAAGAAGGGATGTAAACACAAACGAAAATGGACTTCACGCAGCTCTTGAAGCATCAAATAATATACTGTCCGAGTTAGCAGATAAGGACCATGAAGCAAAATCACTTACAGACTCGAGCTCGGACACTACCTTAACACTTAGGTGTCCTTAAAGCATCATTCCGTTTATTCCTGATGTCTTTAATAGGGTAGTGGACAATTTTTTGGAATATTTTTTTTATTAATCTTCATAACAAAATAAACAATTGTTGATGATTCTTTGATTTTAGAAAACAAAAATATACGTGAAAAAAAAATTAACAAATTTGTACTTATTTTAAACGCTACAATTTACCGCCAGGTAATTACGTCATAGCTGTTATGTATGTCCAATAGCGCGTCCTTATATTTTACATGCTTTTAGAAAAAGATGCCGATAAACTCAGTGCGCACTGATTGCCAAATAGAATTCTCTCAAAAAGTGGGGTTATGTTGAGGGTGCGCCTAAATGTAATAATACCCGAGAGACGCTGATATATGTCTCTTTTTTGCACTAATGAGTAAGTTTGTGTCGAATATCGGACGTAGGTTTTATTTAATTCATACTTAAATACAACAGCTATGACGTAGAATCAGGGCGCGAAATATTTCCGTTTAAATAGTGCGTCCCAAAACTCTCCTTTTACCGCCGTTTTAAACAAGGTTAGTAATTTTATCTGAATTTTTTTTTTAAACGAATATTTTTTATTTACTTCATGAATGAAGAATAGATCATCGATTTCATTGAAATTATACCTTGTCCACTACCCTATTGTAACACAAAAGTTTGCGATTCCACAAACAGGGATGCTCTTCATAAGCTTCCAAAAACTTTATAATATGCTCTATTTTTCAGATTCACTTGACAGTTTCATTATTTTTCTGAAAACGACTAGTGAACACGTTTGTATTTTTTTCGACAAACTGGCGCCAAAAAGTAGACCTCCATTCTACCTTACTGGCGCATGGATAAGTGGCGCAAGTTAAATGGCGTCAGTTAATTTTCCGAGTTTCCACGCGCCAAAAAAGTTGCACCA